AAGTGATTAATTATTCTTTTGCTTATCTCGTAACCAAAGAGCTGCGAAAGGTTTGCAAGATGAGCGTCTCGATACCGAAGATATATCGGTCCCGTTTTGCGCCCAGAAAATATTTTTTGGTGTAAAACCTTGAAATACAGTTTTCTATTGTTTTTTTATTGTATACAGTTTCTACTGTCATGTTCTTTGTCATTACAAATTTTTATAACCGTACTGGAAGCAGTACCATATTCAATCTATGATACATACATATTAATCAAACAGTTGTATTGCACAAACAGCCAGAACTGAGAAGCGAACACAAGAACAAAAAGATGCTTTTCGAGGTACTGAACTTTCAGAGATTGATGACCATGTTCTAGCTGCTCGTCATAAAACAAACTGGAGCATTGAAATTCTTGCTTTTTGAATCTCACGCAATACTGTCTGACTGGGCAGAGCGCCCTGCAGTGCAAAAGAAAGTTTTTCTCTTTAACCTGGAACATCTTATCTCCAAGAAACTCACCAGAAATACTGGATGTGTTTCTCGTGCGTAACAGAATCTTTTTTTTTTATTAGTTATCAGTTTTAAAAAAGTTGAGTGTCATTATTATTTTCACATGTACGAGAGATAAAGAGCACACACATGACCATATGGCAAATTTACATATGGCAAACAGAAAGAAGAACACATTGTATTAGAATAGTCGTCACTAGTGATGGGCGGGTTTAACTTTTTTAAACCCGAACCCGATAAAACCTGATTCTTTTTTTCCAACAGAATCTCAAATTCATCATTTAAAGTGATGGAGTGTACTAATAAATGAATGTAGTTAATAAAATGAAAAAAGAGCACATTTTTGTTCGAAATAAGTTACGTACCATATATCAAGCGCAGATGATATACGTGTCTTTTGGTTCTGTAAATCAATCCGTACGTCATAAATTTCCTTTCTAGATCAGAACAAGGTGTTAAAGTCGAAAAATTATAACTGCTTCGTCCCCTGGGACAAATTAGAGCGATACACCAAAAAAGTTGATGTGCTTGGAGTAAATTGTATTTGCACCAATATCAAAAGTTATCGGGAGGATTTGGAACAAATCTTCCAAACGCCTTAAACACTTGATTTTTCTGAAATTCTGATATTTGAATGAAATGTCGGAATTAAAAAGGATTCTAGTGGGCCCGTTTCACAGACCAAGCATTTATGGTTAAAATGCGACGTCTCACAGCACCAAGCAATGCTTTGATCAAAAGTTATTTAGTTCAGTTATTTATTCAGTTTTATTAAGAACTGTAAAACGTGTGGCGTGCGCTGGCGCCACTATGTTTCAAATGTGATTTTTGTTTTACGTGATAAACATTGTCTGGAAGGTTTCTCCCTGAAATTGAGCGCTAGAGAGCTCCGATTGGTCTTCAATCAAAGCAAAGACATATGAAAACAATGTAACATAGATCGACTTTTGATTTAGGCCTTCAGTAATTTATAGTGTTGAAAGTTATACGTCAGTTTTTGCGCTCTTTTCGAACTTTTCGGGCGAAATACTTCGGAAAATAAAACCAACAAAAAACTCAAAAACCCGGCTCTGCTACGTTATTACTCTAGCTTCATTTTATGAACGATCATAGATGAAGCCATCAAAATGCGCTAACTGTTCATTAACATACCGAACATTTCCTACAATTTTCACTTACATCATTGTTGTTACATCAACGAGCTCAAAGTAAGTACAAACGTCGTGAGACATTTATTAAAACTGTAAGTTTTGCTTAATTTTATGTGATAGAGATCGATGAGGGGACTATCAGTATGCATATCGTCAAAATCGGAAAAGAAGAAGTGATCATTATGATAGTGATTCATTTGCTCATTCTTTATTTACCCCAAAACGTCGAAATACCGATCAGAATGAAAGTTATCATCGATACATGCAAGGAAATCAAGGGGCAACAACAATATCTTCATCGTATTTTAACAATAATCGTATATTTAATAAACAAACAAATGAACCAACGTATCAGAAACGAACGTATGAGTCATCGAATCGAAAACAACAAAAACGTGAATCATTTCCACCCTTTCGTATTAGATTGAAAGTTGACAAATATCCAACACAAGACGTAACCATTATTAAAGAACTGAATCAAAAATGTAAATTAAATTTAACCTATGGTCGTATATCTACATCGAAAAATGACAAATGTTACTTACTCTATTGCAATACGTCGTCACAATTTGAATCTCTTTTAGATAAATCCAAATGGCCAGATAAAATATATGATTGTGAATACACGTTCGATTTACCTCAAAAAATTCCATCCTCCTATTCTGTTGTAATGTTAAACATTCCAGTTCAATGGAATGTCCAAGGTTTCTGTGAAGAATTAAAACAACGATATAAAACAATTGTGAAAGCTGAACGACTATTTGTTAAAGGCTGACGCCCAATATCTAAAATTCGAATTGACTTTTCATCGAACAAAGAATTATTGGAAATATTGAAAAATAAACGTATGTTATTCGATGATGACAATACAGCATACACAATTGAACCATATGTTTCACCTACACGTGTTCTCCGGTGCTACATTTGTCAACAATATGATGATCATATTGCTGCATATTGTCCAAACAAAGACAAACCAATTTGTTTTAAATGCGGTCAACAACATAGTTATAATCCAGATTGTCAAAATGAAGTTTGTTGTGTACATTGTAAGGGTGGCCACATGGCTGGAAACCCAAACTGTCCAAAGAAAATTGAAACTCGAGATTTAAAAAAATTACAAAGGAAATCATCATCTTTGATATCGACAAATTTATCTTATACAAATAGATGGACGGGAAATTCTGCTCGATATCTCTTTGGAAATTCAACAACAACGACGAACAATAATGCAAATGATAATAATCGATTAATGGAAATGATAGATACAATCCATGTCAATATACAAACCGTATCACAACAACAATCAGATCTAATTAAACTCTTCAACGATTTAAGTGATAAAACAAATAACCAAGTAAAGGAAACGGTTAATATCAATCAGGTTTTGAACGAAATCGTTTGTCCATTGTTAAAAGACGTAACAAATATTATCTATACCCAGATAAATCCTCAACAAAAACAGCAAATAAAGTCAGCACATAATAAGTTGGTCAGTTATCTTGATCATAAAGTTTTTAATCAGTCGTCGTTCACCGTACAACATATTCTTCAATCATCTCAACAAATACAAGCGGTGAGTCCACAAACAACAGCTCGATCCGATGACACAAATATTGATATGGGACAATGAATCCGAATGTGGATGAATTTATTCCTAATCATAATGAACCACTATATATCTTAAATGAATATTTATCACAAAAACAGATGAATATTTTTCAGAAACTCATTTTGGAGTGGACGACTACGCCGACGTTAGACAGATTATTGGCACAATGGGAAGAAAGAAAAAAACAAATAAATGACATGATACATGTTAAGAGTGAGCTGAAACTCATGTTATTAAATGTGAGTAGTTTGAAAGTGCACTTATCTGATGTTTTTCTCTTATTTAAAAATGTTCTCTGTTCAATCATTGTTTTAAATGGTACGCATCATAGTAGTGAAACTGTTATGCTTTTTTCAAAACATTTCGCTAATTATAATGTTTTTTGTCAAAAAGGAACAAACGGTTGTGGAGGTGTGTTAATAGCTGTACATCGATCTATCCCTGTTCAACGTGTTGATGTATTTCAAAAATGTTTAAATGTTATTGTTCTTGACATAGGTGTATCATCTGATAAGTTTCAACTAGCTACATGTTATTCTCCTCCAAAAGAAAACTTACCACTTTCTCTTTTTGATCAAATTTTAAAACGAAATTGTAATACGATTTTACTCGGTGATTTTAATGCTAAACACCTGTCGTGGTCAAACTCTACTGAAAATCATAAAGGTCGTGTTCTGTTTAACTGGTTATCATCTAATTCTCTTGAAATTGTAAACAAATATGTTCCTACTTCTACTCGATCTAGTGCAACGATCGATCTTGTTCTAGCTCCTATGCAGATGATATCAACTGTACCTTCGTTCTCTGTTCTTCCGGCTATGGATAGTGACCATTTTCCTGTCATGTGGACACCTGTCGTTAAATTGTTAAAAAGAGATTATTTTTACCCTGTAAAACGCACATATTGGGTGCTAATTGAATTGTTTTTAACGTTTACATTTTCCTTCTGGAACAAATTGTCTTTTACTATGAAAGACACCGCACAATTTTTTTGTATCTATGAACGTTTTCTATCATTACTATTATCACGCCTCACATATGTATCTTTTTGTAACTCTTACAGGCCGTCACTTCCTCCTCATATCGTAAATTTGATACAACAAAAACAAGTATATTTATGCCTTGTTAGAAAAACAAAACATCCATTTTTCATCACACAACTAAAAACATATTCGACAACGATACGGAGGGAAATGTTTGCTTATAAGAGATTATCATGGTGGGAGTATTGTAAAACGTTAAACGAATGTGATATAAAACAATTCTGGAAAAAAGCAAAAAGACATTTTTCGGTATTTTCTTCACCTATTCAAGGGTTTTATTCATCAAACGGTTCTGTTATTTCTTCACCGAGGGAAATGTGTGATTTAGCTAAATCGTTTTACAAAGAACAGTTTTCTGAACATGTAAATACTTTTTCTTCTATCGAAATGGACGCTGAGACCGTGGATAATGAACTTGAGATCGGAATCAGGGATAGTAAACCAGCAGCCTTTCTCATCAAATTAAAGGACATCACAAAAGCTATTTCATCTCTGAAAAATAAAAATTCATCTGGTCTAGACGGAGTTTCTAATAAAATTATCAAGTTACTACCACGGTCTCATCATCATTCATTTATTTATTCTTCCTTTAACTATTTTTTTTCGCATTTGTGTGTTCCCTCGCACTGGCAAACTGCTAAAATGATTTTATTATCAAAAACTAAAACAAATATTGTAGATATTAGTGACACACGTCCTATTTCTCTTCTACCATGCTTTTCTAAACTGTATGAAAAGGTTTTTCTTGTTCATTTTCGTCAATGGGTAAATGACGCCGGCATTCTTCCCGATGAACAGACCGGATTTCGTCCTGGTCACAATATGGCAGTCCGTCTAATTTCAATTATTGACCAGATTGGTCAGAGTTTATCTTTAAACACTGCAGCGGCAGCATTGTTTGTCGATTTTAAAGCAGCCTTTAATCAACTATGGTACAAGGGTCTATGGCTCAAACTTCATCGTTTGGGTTGCCCTATATATCTGATAGCTTGGTTAAGAAAATATTTGTTTGGACGATCAGCATATATCGAAATAAAGGAAACGAAATCCGGTATATTTCTTCTGTTCAAAGGTGTGCCGCAAGGTTCATGTTTAGGTCCAGTTATTTTTATCGTGTATCATCATGATCTGTTAAATTGTATCTCTCTGCTACATTGGAAACATTTGTTCGCAGACGACCTGTCTGTTCTTGTTTCTCCTTCTGCTACTTGGTCGTCCAAAATTCTTATACCTAATCTTGTTGAGCAAATTAAAGGTGTTATTTCTTCGTTAATTTTCTACTCTACGACTTGGAAACAACCCATCAATTTTCAAAAGACTTTCTGGACTCTATTTTACCGTCAAGTTGCTCCTGTTATCCCTGTTATTGTTTGTGACGGACATACTATCTTACATCTTACTAAAGTTAAAAATCTTGGTACTATTTTTGACTGTAAGCTCTCGTTTACTTCACATCTTGATTATATGGAGTCGAAAACTCGGAAAAACTCTTCTGTCTTTAAATGTCTCTCGTCCAGTAGAATGTTGAGTGAAGCTGTCGCTTATCGATTGTATAATGCTTACATGAGGCCGTACTACCAATCTCTCTTAAACATTTATCCGGTTTTATCCAAAACTAAACAAAACTACTTAGAAGCCCTAAACAGACAGATATTTAGAATAGTTCATCATTGGTATGATGCAACAAATGTCGAAATCTCAAATTTACCTAAGTACAAATCGATGGATGAGCTCACTCAAATTCACTGGTCTAAACTTTTCCCAACTATTCTTCAAGTAAATCCATCCGTGATATCTGATTTTCTGCAACACAAAATGTACTTGTTATATATGTATGAATATTACCATAATCCCCTATTGTTAAAAGATAAAAGAGCAATTGTAAACAAAGGTAGAACGAGTAAAAAAATCACTAATCTATTTCGTGAACACAAGCCTTCTTTGTTTGACTATGTTATTTGTTTCTGACTGAGTTATTGTGATTTCTTATCTATCTTGTCTTTAGTATAAATTACATTTTCTTTTTTTTAATTGTAATAAGAATATTTTTGCAATGCTGTTTAACTAGATTCGTGTATGTGCGCGTCTCGTTTCTTGTTTATTCTATATGTTTTTCTTTTTTTGTCACAGGGACGAAGTTCGTCCATGACGCTGAATTGTGAGGATTATGACTTATAGTCTATGATTTAAAATAAAAGCATTATACTACTACTACTACTAGGACAAGTGATGAAAGAGGGATCTTTTTATCCTATGTACTCCATTGCATGGTCTATCCAACAATACGATCAGATCGTTTTTACCTCGGACCTTCAACCCTACACCTGGGGTTATATTGTTTGACGCCGTTCTCGAGCGTGTGGCTTAAGTATAAAATGAGATGCACGTTTTCATAGACATTCAAGTGTGGTTTATCCAAATCCGGTCTCAAAACTTTGGAGTCTTATAAGGATATCTGGACAACCTTTGGGGGTTTCTAGAAACCCCTTAAGTTTATCAAAAAGTTTTTAAATTACATAATTGGAAGAGCACAAAATTCTGGTATTCCTGTTCTTTATTGTACAGCAATAGCACCGGATTCGGATAGTCCACACTTGAATGTCTATGAAAACGTGCATCTCATTTTATGCTTAAGCCACACGCTCGAGAACGGCGTCAAACAATATAACCCCAGGTGTAGGGTTGAAGGTCCGAGGTAAAAACGATCTGATCATATTGTTGGATAGACCATGCAATGGAGTACATAGGATAAAAAGATCCCTCTTTCATCACTTGTCCTAGTGGAGAAATAGAATCATTATTTTTGCTAGCCATTTTTTATACGCTGAATTTTTCATCGGGCGGACTCTACAACTCAGAAAGTACAAGTCCTAGAAGGCTCAGAATTTGGATTTATAGGTTTTCATACATGCTGAACAAGATAAGACTAATTAGAAGCCAATCTGAGGCATCGATTGAACATGGACTTATGGTAATCGGTCGGTTTTCTCATGCAATACGCAATACTACATATGCTTTTTTAAATTTCACTCAACTGCTTTATGATTCTGAATGAATACTATGTTGAGAAGAGTATTTTCTATATACAATTTGGTAATACCTGAAAAATCCAATTAAAACACGTAACCGTATTTTCTGTTGCGTATTCCTACATGGCTGAAAAGAAGCTGAAAGCTTGTATAATAACTGTTGTTGTAACTTATTTTAAATGTATTTTCAGTGAGTAAAAGCACTAAACGTCTACTATTCTTGACAGCGTGTCAGATAAAAATACTACAAAAAGTTTACGAAAAGATCATGCGCAAAGAATTAGCTTTGTATGATGTTTTTAGGTTGAGATCTAAAAGAAGCAATAATTAAGGCAGAACTTTGCACTAGCCGTTAACATTGTTTTTAAAAGTAACGTTCTAGCAAAAAAAATAGTAAACTAACTTTGCTGATTCGACTTTTCATTGAAACATTGAGTACATAAACTGTTTCCACAATTTCTACAAAAATGATGGTAATTAAATAATGTTGTCCCACAATAATCACATGTTTCACGAACACCATCTTCTCGTGGTTTAACGAGTGGTTCTTGATTACCTTAATATAGAACAAAATAAAAGAAATCAGTTTTTCAGAAACTCTAAAAAATAACCAAAACTTTTCTTAATGAGACATGATTGTAGTTCGCAAATGTCTGATTAAAATGAGGCATCTCCCAGCTCAAAGTGAATAGATCAAGGTTTTGCTTACCAATAAGTCTTTCTTCTTCTTCTACTATTTTAATGAATTCATAACCAATCGCATGCAGTATGTATTCAGCATCTGACTTTTTGATGGTGCGTCCTTAGAATAGATATGAATATTTTTGACATTACCGGCCATTATTTAAAGATCTTGCTATTTTTTGCCGAGCTTCCTCAGCCAATTTCATCATCAGTATACTATATATCAAAGTTTTACAACAACTCTACTATTACTGGTATACCCCAG